ATATCTCATGAAGAAAACATATCTTTTAGCTGAAAATTTCAGGGCATTCTAGTTACAAGTAGACCTATCTGTAGGTAAGATTTCAGACCGAAATATCGTCATTCGATTTGTTAGTATATACTATGCTATAGGCTAAAATTCCAGTAAAATGACTATAACTCTGGAGGAAAGGCCTATGGGCCCTTATCCTTTTGAATTTTTTCGCACCTTACTGAGGTCTACCTTGTGCACAGAGTTTGAACTCAAAACCGATTAATCACTTCGGGTACCTCCCTCGTCAGATATGTCGACTGCTTTTCCGTTGCTGTCGGATACTTCTTTTATATCAATTATCATTAAAGTATTTCCGAAGATTTGTCCCACCTGTCGGCATTTGCTTGTTGATAAGTAGGTGTTAGAGTACCACGCAGTGTAGTAATCTCTTGTTGCATGTAACTTAAGTTTATCATCATTCAACATGGCTCCTCTATAAACGGTTCCAGTGTACGGTTTACCGTAATTCGATGAAGTGCTCGGAATAAAAATGATGCCTGCGTGTAAAATCTAATGCAATGTTCGAGTACCGCTTTCTCGCCATACTTTTTCATATCAAACAGACTAATACTCATCGTTTTTGCATCGTTCTCCTACCCTTTTTCTTTGCCGATGCAGACAATTTCATTTGCTGCTTTATCAGCGATTGAAACAAAATCTTTAGCATGTGTACGAGACGGACACTTAAACGGAACCCATCCTCCTTCTATTGCATACAAAGTGATTGGTTCTCCTGCTTCTGTCTGACTTCGAACCGTGACGTCGATGAGATTAAAACTTACTGGTATACACGCAGACAGACTTTTTTGAAGTTCATAATATTGTTCTGGAAACACTAGGTTAAGTTGTTTGAAGGTACTATGACAAAAACGTTCTGGCCGTAGCAAGGATGAGCGACTAGAAGAAGGTGCTTGCATAGAAGACATAGAATGAGGTAAGATGAGATCAAGCGACATGAAACGTTGGTCGCTCCATCGTGTAAACCAATGTCCCATTGAAATGACAATCAGATACTTAAACTAGGTGGCAAAATTGGCGAATGCCCGTTCAGTTGATGCCGCTTGTTTTAATTTTAGGAGTAAAATAAGATGGCAGCAAATAAAAACAACAATTTCTGGGTAATCAACAAGAATAGTCACAAGAAACAACCAATGAAAAAAGACTAGCAAAAAAAAGGGTGAAGCGAATAGCATAAGAAGAATAAAAAGAGAAAAGAAAATACAACAGACAGTTTGAGAAGGGTGAAACCGATTGTAATAGATACATGAAGTAACCTGACACTCATATGATTGAATCATGTTTTGTAAAATTCAGCTATTTTTTTTTTGAAGGTTATATATAGATGTCGGGTGTCATTGTCATCCACATCCTTCACTGACACTCTTGTTTCTTCATTCATGTCATGGAAGAAGCGTTTCTTATTCACTGTACAATTTCATACTTACGGACGAAGATGAAGCCATTAATTCGTCCAAAAATTATCACTAGTTGCTGTTTCGGGTGTGATTTTCAAGGATTTTTCATTCGATAGATATTCATATCGAAACTATCGGTTTAGGTTTGTGTGAAAACGAGATTTTAGTGACTATTAAAATCTAGTCATTGTCATCGTGTGTATGATCAAAAGTGAACTGTTGAAAAGATACAAAGGCTCGTTTAAGTGAATGATAAATTAGAAAAATTTAAGATAAAATGCAATCAAGCAGATTAACGAACAGTCCCATGACTTGTTAAATTTTGACGATCGTATGATATGGAGTGTTAGACATGTTCGATTCAATCACGAGACGAATCATGTCAATCCGAATTTTGATTGAAAATGTTATTTATTTTGTTCGTTTTCGACAAATGAAAATCTTAAGACATCAAACAACGAAATTAAATCTACAAATTCAAAAGCCTTACTTCTACTATTGCTGCTATTTATTTCAGTTACAATTAAACAAAAATTAGTATGAACGTAAGTATGAAAGTGTTCGTGGATAAAGAGGAGAGCAACACTCACATCCATCCACCAACACAAAATACATTCTTGACTTTATGCGAACGTCCTATAAAGATTGTTCTCATATTTATGAGAATGCAAAGTACGATGCTCGCAGCTTTTCATGTCCGTATAATAAGTCCACTGTTTGGAATTTTCTTTTTAAGTTCTGTCTATTGATTTTTCTTGAAGTCAACGTCGAATGGTGATTATTTAGTTTTGTTTGTGTTCTCTTTTTAGACTCTTGAGCAGTTGACTCTTTTGGAAATTCTAAAAGTCCAGAATGAGCGAAAGTGGAAGCGAGTCTTCAGAAGAAGAAGAAGAATTTTGTTGTGTATGTCATTATTATAACAAGTTCTCCACCATGCACCATCTATCAACAATAATATCAACAACGTCTTCATCACTTTTGTTCATTGCGTCTAGATGCCAATCATCAGCGAAAAGACCGAGTTTATCTGCATTATACTCGCCCAACTTCACCAAGAGCAGTCGTTCGCATTGCTGATCTTGGTAATCGCCCATAAATCGATCTGTAATCGCTCGCCAATCGTTATAGCACAAGCTGCAATTATGATAAGTAGGCGAGAGAAAGACTACTACTAGAGCAGCTCGTCTGTAGATGTGTTTTGAATTTTTTCGACGATCGAGTATACTCATATTTGCGTGAGCAGTTGGAACATCGAATATTAGATTCGCAGTATTCGACGTAGTAATATGTTTTTTAAGAAGTTCACTGATGATTTGTACTCGAGTAGTCGTTTCATCATGGTACGAGAGAGCAACATGTACGGGATGTTGTGAGAAACTAGGTGAGTACAATGCTGAAAAATTTGAATCTGGCGAAGGAGGAACCATCTCTAAAATAAATGAATTAGTTGTTGTTCTATATACAAAAAAAAAATCACCGTTGGTTGACGAAAGGGATACCATTAGTCCATCATCAAGAGTAAGAATTCCAGCGACACCAGCACCTTAACAACAAAGATAAATTTGATCTTATCGAAAAATATTTTTGCATATTTACGTTCCAAAGTTGACCGATTTATTGTTTCATCCGGTTGAAGATAGTTCTCAAATGCTTCAACACTAACTTCACCAGTCTCTTGACCAGCCATTTCTTCGGTATCTACAAGATGAACTTAAATTCAAACAAATTCAGAATTTAATATTAATAAATTACTACCATCAATGACATCTATCGGTATTGCACTATATGGCATTGTAGATGTTTCAATCACCGATGTTCGAGACGACGATGAAGCATCACGAGAATTCTCTTGACTCAAAAATTCATAAATCTAAATTTCAACAACAAAAGTTCATTGCAGAACTATTTTATCATTAGGTCTTACTTGAAATAGATAATGGACAATGAAGATTAGTAGCTGTCGTATACCGTGTCGCAAACGTTCAATAAAGGAAATGGATCGATTTGCAAGTGTACTGGTATTTGATTGTAGAAAAGGTTCATTTTGTTCATCCATGTCTGACATGTCGGAAAATGCCAAATAATCTGAAACTAATAAGTTTGCATTATTTTTGCTCCTTTATATGTAAATTTGACATGCTTGTATTTAAAAAAAAACAAGCATGATTAGTAAAGACAAATACTGGGAAGAACGAAAAAAACAAAACGACCATATTCTGCTTGCATTGAAGAACGAATAAAACACAGAACAGTTGATGTTTCGCGTCTTGTTTTGTTCGTTGGATGTTTCCTCGCGTTCTGATGCAATAAAGAAAGCATGACATGCTGAAATTTTTTCCACAATCTAACGATGATATACCTATACTTTATGCTACCATTACTCATATACAAAATTCAAATGAATATTCTAAGAATAGAATTGTTGTCAAATAACACAGCCTCTTCTACATCTGCTGCGTTTTCTCCGACTTCGAAACGTATTGGTCTATGTTACAAGTAAACGAGAAATAAACAATGTTTACCGACACTGAAGAAGAAACAAGCAAACAGCGATGCTTGATACTATATAGATATGACTAGATGTAATCTTAATCAATAATATGATTTGAATGAGCTTATTTAGTACAAAACTAAAATGACGCAATGTAGGTTTATTAAAGTTTGCTTCTATTTTCTATTACTGAAAATGGGTGTGGATGTGAATATGCATGTTCTTTTTCTCTTTACTCACATCCGCACCCATATATTTCTACAATTTGAGATGCATGGAAACATAGTATCATGACAAATAAATGCATTTCATCAAAAAACAGAGAATGATCATGTCTAGATAATTTGTGTATGAAAGCGCTCATTATTTGATTAAAAGTGGTGGGTGTGACTGTTTGAGGATGTGCTGGAGTTGGATTCGACCTATATTTCGTATAAATCCTATAATTGCCCTATATTATGCTAAAGAAGAAGAGAATGTCCAGGAATTCTTCAATTTCATTGAGTATAAATTTTACTCTTTAAGCGAACTTGACACAAAATATAGTTTAATTTCTCAATGTGATGTCTATAATAACAGAAGTTCTTTTAAATAATTATTTTTTTCTAACTGTATACTTCTACTAAACTTATGAAATAATAATAAAAATGATTGACACTATAAATGCAGTTAGATATCTCTGAGATAAATCAATACTTTGCTAAACATACAAGCACTCTTTCTAATTTATATGGTTGTTCAATATGTTTATATATGCACAGGCTGTCAAGAATGTATTCGAACAACGTCAATTGCTTTTGCATATCGTAAATTAGACAAGAACAAAAGATAAAACTTTTCGTTTTCATTAACGATTACTCCTCATTCGCCGTTTTCTTCTATATAATAATCGATAATCTAAATCGTTGTTGTAATATTTCGAAAGTCGTCTCTTGAAACTAATGCATTTTTCAAGTTCTGTAGATGAAATATCTTTTTTCTTGCAAATAGATGAATGTTTATTTTTCTGTCAAAGAGCACTTATCAATGTGAAAAACTCAATCAAGTAACATTTTAAAAGAATAGTAGAATACAGTGAACGTCAGACGCAATTTTTCAAAAAAATGACATTGTTCGTATGAAAACGCCCCAGTTATCTGCTAATAAGACAAAGACATACGCACACTATCTGCTGACGAAAGTCAAAATATTTTATTCTTTCTTTTAGTTGCGTAAATCAAGAGTCTCAAGTACAACCAAGATTTTCGTATTTTTGTTTTTTGACTGTTTATATGTCTGTATCTAATCATAAAGAGTTGAATATTATATTTAGAAACTTTCTTCTTAACAATAATGTACGATTTCTTCAATTGAAAGTGTAAATGGAAGTATTGTAAAGAACATATTCAACATTTCGATAAATTAATGTGTCCAGGATATGTAAACTTTATTTAAATACGAAATCAGTGAACACTGGATTAAAAAAAGGTTCTCGTCTATGACTTTCACATGTACTTCATATCAAATCGTGACTATTGACTATGAATGTGAAGTTAAAATGCTGTTTAACGAATTGAATATTCATAAATAAAAACAAATATGAAAGTAACACAATATAAACAATAGAATACACAATAAATTGTAGCTGAAATCTTCTATAATATGGCTTTTGAAAACGCTAATAATCAAAAGACAACTGTGTATTGTCTCTACAGATTAAATATAACTTTGAAATCAAAATAAAACTTTATGTTTTCTTTCGTCTTACTGGAATTCAAGAAAGACATTTTCTTCGATTTCGTGACGCTTAATAGAAGATTTATTATTTATCGAAATGATAGCATTTGGAAACGATAATATTTTTATATGAACAAGTCAATAATCACTTCGTTTTCATGTCTATCAGCTCTACAGTGTTCTGACTACTATTCTCAAGGAAAACAAAACAGCTGACAGAATCATTTAAAACAAAAGTTTCTTTAACATCAATAGGAAAAAGTTCTATATTTTTAAGAACTCTCAATTATCCAATTCGAAGTCGAGCCCAAAGCACTATATCGTAGAATAATTACGCAAATATGAATAATAAAAAAAAAAGAAATGGCACGCATGCGACAGACATAGAGAGACCCGCTTCGACTGTTCTTCTTGTATGGAGTAGTCACTTTTAGGCAATCCCTATTTAAAAAATGAGCGAAGAATGAGACTAAACAATAACAATTTTGGATTGTTTTTTCCGAATTGTTTTTCGATATTTGTAAAGAGTCTTTCGAATAATCACAATTTTTGAAGACGAACAAGAGTAAAAACAGTGCTTGAGAAAGAAGTCTGCGTTAATGTTTCGTGAACTTTGTAATGGCATGAGTATTTCTTTCAGAATTATTTTTGGTAGATTTGCTCTACTAAACACCATCGTTCCATAATAATGTCCGCTACTTCCTGGTCGCTGAGGTTTATTGCATCAATATAGAAATCATCATCGTAAAGGCCAAGTTTGTTTGCATCAAAATCACCCAATTTGACAAGAAGAAGTTTTTCGTATTCGTGATCATCAGCGCCAACCATAAAACGGTTTCTTATTGCTCGCCATTCTTGATAACAAAAGCGAGAGTTATGATATGTTGGCGACAGAAAAACAACGACTAGTGATGCTCCTTCATAGACACGTCGCAAAACTCTTCCTGCGTCAATAAGGGCCAAAGCCGCTTGGAAGTTAGGTGCATAAAATACTGGTTTAGGAAAATCTGGCGTGGTGATTCGGTCATGAACCAATGCACTGATCACTTTGACTCGATCATTTGTTTCTTGACGATAGGAGAAGGCGATTTTAACGGGATTTTGCAAAACAACAGGATGTCCGGATGATGCTGCTGCGGCGACGGTGGTAGTGGTGGTCGTTGGCGGAGAAATAGTCGGCCCTAAAATGAATTCATTTGTTGAGTATTCTGAGAATGATGACAAGCTATTTGAAAAATATAATCTACCACTAGTTGAAGAGAATTGTAGTGTTGTATTGTCGAGGGTGACAACTCCAACGATTCCGTTACCTTGCAAAGCATATCGAGAATAATGACGATTAAAACGAATTAATATTGGTGGTCTTACGTTCAAATTCAGCTGTGGTAGTAGATTCCTGCGAAGGTGGATCGTTTTCTAGTACTTCAACACTTGTCTCATTATTATCCTGCGAGCTCATTATGTCATCGATTTCTAAAACAAAAAACAAACACTGAAGAATTTAAGCGACTTCAGACAAAGCTTTCATTGAAGAACATAATTCAAACATGATATGAAAATGACGTGCAACACACAGTTGTATGCTATTTTTTTCAGTGTCTCATTGTTGTTATTCATTCGATTAGTCACACACTAATAGCAAACTTTGAAAACATAGGCATTGCTACGAAATTCTCATTTATCGACACCTATTTTTAGGCAAATTACGACGCTTTGAAGAGTATTCATACCACTATACACTTATTTATTGTAGGAAATAAGAAGAAAATGACGAAAGACTGGTAAAAAAAAGAAGAATAATATACTGCATGAGCGTCGTCAAAGAAAAAGAGAAGAAGAATAGCAACAAAAAAAGGTTTTGTTGTTAGAAGAAAGTATTTTTGTTATTGTCGACGCTTCAGAATGAAAAAGAGAACGAAAAAGAAAAACAAATCCAAGGTCTACTATAGACACTGATGCAAAACATGTTCATGTTTCTCAGTATTGCAAAGCAAATAATCAAGTAGTCGTCAGATGAAAAAATTGAAAATGAACTTTTCTTCACCCCCTGTAACCTGAGATTGAACTAAACGAAGGACGTGAATCCCTATGAACGTTGGGTGTGGATGGCGTTGTGGGTTTGTTTTAATCCGCATCTACCCACAGCAACATCTACAACCACATTCATGCACACACCGATATCCACAACCAGGGGATGGGATTGTCATAAATGGCTAGACAAAAAGTTGTTCTAAGCTTAAAAATTCTCCAATATTTCCTTCTATAGTATATAGAAGAAGGAAAAGTAAAATATAATCTGAAATTTTCTTGTCTGTCATTTCTCGAGAACTCATCCATTTTTCTTGGCATTTTTTGCATGGCAATTTGAACCAAATTGAAGTGTGGATGTTCTTTTTTTTCTTGAAAAAATATTGAATTCATAGAAATATCAGAGTCGAAATACTGAAGGCACTCTAAGAAAAGTCCGAGTTTGCCGTATTTTTCGATTGATGCAAATTTTGTGAAATCTACTAAAGTGTACCAATATAATATTTTTTCAAGCAATATAAGTTGGCAATGAAATTATTGTTTAGGATTAATCATGTACTAAATGAAGAACATCTCGAAAATGATTTTAAGATAGAGACTTCGTAAAATCGAACTTTTTGATGGTCTAAACCACAATGAAAACTATTTGCTTATGTGATGTTCAATAGAAGGTGGTTGAATGTCTCTTTGACGCTAAAATAAGCAATTTCTCGAACGAGAAAGAGAGTGCCCTTAATCTTGATTTGATCAGTTATTATCAGAGAATAATTCAAACAGCTCACATCGTATGAAAAGATCTGCTTAAAAAGATAATTGTCTATTATTAAAGTCGTTTCGACAAAATACAATTTTCACTTGAACTGAAATTATGAGCTGTAACTTTCATAGATCTCATTTACACAATCTATTTTTAATGAACAATGAAAAGCTCATTGACTCTGAGTATTATTAGAAAAAATATATTGAAACATCTATACTAACCATTGAGAAATATTATTAAAGATTTTCGAGAATATATCTTTGGATGTGGGTTTCCATGATACGTAGAAAAAAAAGAAGGAAGAATACTTCTACCTTTCAGCTACCTTGCTGTACGAAGTACTGCATAGTAATAGATACAACAACCTGATATCTTCCTTATAACTATGATTAGCGTTAGTTCTAGACACAAATCCAACCTGACGTAGAGTTCTTACGTTGAGTTGCTTGGCAAATTGTGCATCATTACGCAAAGTGGTTTTAGTTCTTTTTTTGTTATTTTATATGATGATGTTATTTTTATTAAAATCAACTTCATTTTCATATTGTCACAAAAAACTTTTGATCCCATTTGTTGCTGTTGATCTCATCCTTTTTCCTCAATTTTAAATCAATCTTGATTTTTTTTTATATCAAAAAAGAATGTTAATTTTTACTAGACTTCATAATCGTTGTCGATTTAAAAGAGTATGGAATATATTAAGAAGTGAGTAATAGAAATAAAAATTGTAACTATGATGAACATTATATTTTCGAAAGCTAATAATAATACATGTCTAATTATTCTCTTGGAAAGTAACAACATAGATAAATCTTATGTACCAAATGAGACAGACGATAAAATAATATCCAGCGACCAAAAACTAATTTCTTCTAACAAGAAAATTGTTCAGAAAAAGCTTTTATGGAAGGGAATACTTCAATTTAAATTTATTTAGAAGTGTTGAATGTGTGCGGGTTAAAACAAGACTCACATTCATCACAGTCCAACCGTCAATGGATTTAAGTTGGTCGTCTTTGGCGACATCATTTTCATCGAGTTGTTCTCTATAATCATCGGAGAAGCATTTCTGGAAAGCTCTCCTCTGACTCTTCATTTCTTTGACGATAGACGTATAGACAGAGAATAGTGTTGAGGTTAAGTATACGATATGTTTTTTGAGTTCTAACTCGAATTCAGGCTGTCTGACTAAACAGTCTATATTCCGCTGTGAGTATGACTTCTTCTTCATGTGGGAGGATCGATAACTCAAATATGTCGACCATTTTTCCGTCGTTGTCCAATACTTCCTTTATATCAATTATCATTAAAGTATTATTGCCGAATATTTCTGCCACCTGTCGGGATTTACTTGTTGATAAGTAGGTATCAAAGTACCACGCAATGTACTAGTCGCTTGTCAGATGTACATTAAGTTTATCATCGTTCAACCTGGTTCCTCTATAAACGGTTCCAGTGTATGATTTACCGTGACATTCGACGTACAGATTAAGCAATTTCTCGCAATAACATAGATTTCCAGTATCCAAACCGTAGTGGTTGTCTAAATGTCTGTGGAATACTCGGAATAAAAATAATGTCTTCGTGTAAAGTCTAACACAATGTTTGAGTGTCGCTTGTTCAATGCGCCCTTTCATTTCAAGTAGACTGATACTCATCGTTTGTGCTTCGTCCTCGCGACTTCTTTCTTTGGCAAACAAGACTATTACTTTTGCCGCATTATCAACTGTCAAAAGAAAATCTTGAGCAGTCGCACGCGACGAATACTTGCGGGCAGCCGTTTCTCCATCTATTTCGTGCAAGGTGATTGGTTCTCTTACCTCTACCATACTTGAAGTCTTGACGGCGATACCATTATCATTAGTTAGCATCATCATAGACATCATTCTTTTAAATTGATAATAGTGTTCCGGGTATGACAAAAGCGTTCTGATTGTAGAAAAGGTGAACAATTATAAGATGGAGCTAACACAAGAGGCATAGAATCACGGAAGACATAACCAGGTGACACGGAATATCGGTCGCTCTGTCGTTTACACCCATTACCCATTGAAATGATAATCAGACATTTAAAGTAAATGGGCGAATTGACGTATGCCTGTTTAGTCGGTGCCGCTTATTTTTACTTTAGGAGTAAATAAGAAGACAGCGAAAAGAAAGAAAGCAACTTCTCCGTGAGCAACATTAAATACCATAGAAAACAGCCTATAAAGAAAAACAAAAGCGAAATGAAAAGGATAAGATGGATCAAAGGAAAAAAACAAAATAAAAGAGATGATTTGAGAAGTTCTCATGACGATCGTCTGTAACTGTTGGTGTCGGAGATTGCGGTCGATGAAGGGATGGCTCACAACCATACTTATGCTCTCGCGGATCCTCAATTAAATTCTATAATGATTGTTATGACCGGATGAATGGATGAAGAAATCACCCCCACATACTCGTCCACACTCAGAAATGAGATATGAGATGGAAGGGGAGAGAGAGAGAGAAAAAAAAAGAGAAGATGCAGAATGTGTTTTATGGAAGCCAAATGAAGTGAATTCTTGATTCAACTTTTCTTTTTCACAATGCACTGCTTCACTAAAAGAATTCAATAGTTCTCTATGTCTACTGATGGGACACATATCAAAGTAACTTGGAAAAAATTACAGTCAAACTTGAGTATGCTGTTTCACTCTTTCTTCATTTGCTGTTGTTGCGTTTCTCTATTGATCAGTTTGCTCTGTCTCGCGAATACTTTCAAAAGTATGGCGAAGCGTTTGCATGACGAAAAACATCGAAATTAAGATTAGCGAAGGAAAATAGAGAAAAGAGAAACAATATAAATAGAAAAAATTCTCTTCCTCTCTGACTAGCATTCATTCTGAATGTGGATGCGTTCTTTATTAATAGAATATGTAAATCAATTAACTAATTATTGCCATATTTTCGGAATTTTCCATAATTCAAAAATTTTTAATTGTTTTCTCAGTCGTTTTTTTATTATATAAAATTAAAGAAAAATTTAGAATATATATTCGAAAAAAATCATTTATAACGATTTGCTTCATCGTATGTAATAATATAGCTAAAGTAAGACTGGAATGTATCTGTTATCATCAAAGAATTTTATATTTTTGTGGTATTTTTAAAATGAAAAAAAACTTCTTTCAAGGCCTTCCGCCCCCCCCCCCCTCCCGCTCAAAAAAAGTCAATTTTCGTCAGAAATTCTGAAATTGAGATAAATACATAGGAGTCGTTGCACGAAAACCACGACCGATTCTAATATATGTTGCTCAACGACTTTCACCGATTTTGATTTTGATTGCAGCAATAGATAGTACTACTAAAGTTAGGTATATGTTAGAATTTCCAACGTTCAATACCTTTCCATTGCTGAGAAATAATGACTTTATTTCTACCACCCAGCAATAACAATAACTGTACACGATATTTTTCTAAATCATGCCGTTATTCATATATAACGTTTCCAATCACCAAATTTGGTGGGTATATATGGTGATATATACCCTACATATCTGCGGTTCGAGAATTGCCTTTCATCACTCAATGAGTCCGTGGCAGGCTCCTGGGCTGCAAAAATAGGCCTTTTTTCTGAATTTGATTTCTTTTACCTATGCAAACGAATTCGATATCTACATTTACCAGCTAGTACTACTGACATCACTGTATCGTAATATACCTTCAATGGTTTGGGCAAGCATTGTTGGGCTTGGTAGGGATGGGCACAAGTATACGATATTTTTTGGGTATAATCACCTATTGCATTGGCTGCAAAAAAATTTACTTTTGTTTTAGGAGTAATTATATGCTTCAATTATTTATGAAGTGATATATCTGCTCACAATTTTATCATTGAAAGCCTATATTGTTGCCTTAGAATACTATCACTTTGAAAATTGTCATTATCATCCCATGAATCAGATATTTTTTTGAAAAAAGATAATAGTACAACTAAAGTTCTCTTGGTTTTTTCTATGCAGCAAATCTAATAAAGAGTTAAAAACCATTTTTAATCATACACTACTATCATTTTGAAAATATTAGCTAGCTCAACTTTTTTTTTGAACGCCCCTTGAAAAAATACCGCATATAATAAGACGATTATTATAGGTGACATTAGTAACGTGTGATGAATAAGTCAGATGTAGTTAATAACTAAGTTCAGTCGAGAGTATAACAATGATACAGACATCTATCTCAATTCAAATGATGCCATTTAATATTCAATTGAGAAATCAAATTGGTGTCTCTGGTGTCAAGTAGAGTTTTTCACTGTTACGATTTTATTGAAATTCCGCTGGAAAATTCTTTCATTTTACTATTTAATAATTTGAATTTTGTTTTGGGTCTGAATCAATGATTTCTGAACAGAGGAAAATTATTAAAAAATGGGGTTCCATCTATAGCAAGTTTTTCATTTTTCTCAGAAACAATTCAATCAAATTGTAAGTCAATTTAGGAGCAATAAATAGAAAAAACAACAACGAAATAGTCTATAGAAAATCTTTTTCGAAGGTATATTTGAATATGTGAAAGGCTTTTTTCTTGCATTCATCAGAACATCGATGATATACAATTATATGTTTGGTTCTCTATTCGTACATTATTAGTATTAATTATATCGTCTGTTTCGTAGGTAAGTTGATTTTTAGTAATTTTATTGAAATGTTAACTGTAATTAAGAAAATTATTCCGATTAGGTAAAATTCTAAAAAAAATATGCTGTTAGACATAAAAATGTGTGTTTTTTGTGTTTTGGAAAAGCAAATTTTTGAGAAAATAACGAGCTTCAGACGAATACGATTCGAATACTTGCTCTTTACAACAAAATTATATTTTTAGGTTTAAGCAGGCTCCTATGATACTTCCTCTAATTAGAAAATGGTACCAAAATGTACGAAACATTCATATATAATATTTACTATAAGATAGCGCCCAGTTATTAAATAAAACTCTCATAATATTGATAATACTTCCTCTAACGAAGTTTCTCATCTTAGTAATGAAGTTCAGTTTTAGATACAATTTTTAATAAACGAAAAAATTAAGCAAAAGACGATCATCGCGTTTTTCCCTTTTCCCAGCTGTTGATAGTTCTCGTGTTATTATTGGCTTAACAATAACAAGAGATCTTGCAATCGAACAAATAGATAGATGGAGAGATAGATAGATAGTTGAATAGATATATAAAATAGATTCGAAGTTCAATAATTCATTTGCTAAATCTAGAAAAGATCGAAGAACGAGATTAATTCTGCACTGTAATGTGAGTCCATGCGTGTCTATATATCTATTTAAATCTTTGATTTAGGATATTTTTATTCTTAACTTGATAACACAAGTGCTGTTGAACGCTGATAAGGAAAGAAATGACAAAAAAAGCTTTATATTTATCTTTTATGTAACTTTGCGTTATTAGCAATTTTTTTCATGAGGTGAGCAGAGGACTAGAGAAGATATTAGGTATTCAAGACTTACTATTATAGTTAGAAAAATGATTTATCTGCAATCTTAGTTATTCTAACATTGTTATGGCATTGTTAAAATACTTAAGGGTTCACATTAATCTATAGATTTTCTCAACAAATTATGTCTTGAAATTTAGGATATTTGTTTCATATATTTACTCATACGATAACTACTTCAGATGCGTCTTTCAACTGCAATGATTCTTTTGCCTCTAGATACTACATAGTACTCTAGTGAAAAATTTACAGATATTCGATTTCCCATTTACATTTGACTAAGCCATCAAGTCTTTCAAATACCATCTTTCGCGAAGCCCTGTAACACCATGAGACTTTAGAAAAATCAAATTTTCGAATTTTCCCTCGATCTATTCATGTATAGACCTTAATTAGAGAGGCATCCATAAAAACTGAGAACTTTTCAACAGTCTTTCTGAGATACGAGACTTTCAAAAAGTTCTTTTTCTGAAAAAAAGTTTTACTTGGTAGTTTCATATCGCAGAAAGACTGTTGAAAAGTTCTTAGTTATTCAGAATACCTATCTAATTAAGGTCTATATATGAACAGATCGAGTGAAAATTCGAAAATCTGATTTTTCTAAAGTCTCGTGGTGCTACAGGACTTCGTGGAAGATGGTATTTGATAGCTTCCCAGTCAGACAAACAATAAAAATCACGCGTAAAAATGCATTAAAATTTTGACCGAAATAGAACGTATTCAAAAGGTTTAACGACAATTAACGTAAAAAACGCACGTTTTGAATCGTTCATAACGCGTTAAAGTTTTGAACGAAAAAAAAACGCATTAATAAATCTTAACAAAAAAAAACAGGTGCAGTTTTTACGCGTTATTTTTTGTTGTTTGTCTGACTTGCTGTGTACACAGTATTTGAGATGTGCCATGTTTAGGCCATGCTAGCTGCATCCATTCCGCAGCTACTTCACTATGCAACCCGTTAACTTACACATGCTACCTTGTCATTATCACTCAAGTGTCTGCGATGATTTCTATAGTGTTCCAATTCATGACTATAGCATCCCAGGTAATACCTGTAGCGTCCAAGATAAAACCTTTACACCAGAGGCGCTATCTCAAGCATCACAGATAACACCTCTAGCATTCCAGGAGATGCCTGTAGCATTCAAGGTAAGATCTGTAGCATACACGGAGATAGTTAAAGCATTCCGGAACGTCCTTGGACTTGAAAGTTAAAACTTCAAATCTCATTTCAATTCAATTTTCGGGTTCCACACTACTCACCGTTTCATTTATGAGTGTATAAATAATAATTCATATAAAATTTTTCTTTTGCTTTTGTGCTGTCGGAACATGGAAGCGGTGTTTTTTTGAATTTTTCATTTATATTCGAACTCGAATTGGGCATCTACTCCTATGTAATGTCATTGATGCTCTCCCTTTTTGTTTTTAACTAAAACAGTATAAAATACGGTCTTTGTTTTTCTTTTATATTATAACATTGGTTAATAGTAGTTCGCGTTTTTTTTTCAATTTTAAACTAGGAAGAAAAGACCTTGTTCGCCATCTCTTCGGATGATTCATATATTACTGTAAAATTTTTTCTTCACAATAAAATACACACAACCGGAGCTGACGAAAAACAGCCTAGTCAAATAAGTAATCGAAAAGTCGACGATTTTTATCGTCAAAAAAAAGCGAATAGATAAAAGAATAACATTTTTAAACTGTTCTTCTTGGTAAAAAATGTGAGTATTAGTTGGAATATTCCTTCTTACACAAAATGCGCAATAAAATATTTTCTCGTATATTGCGCTGATATGTGACTCATCGAAGATACATGCGTACTTTTTTAGCGTTCTCTTGCGCTCTTTTCGCAAAAAATATTTCAAAAGAAGAAAAAAAGGTGGTGATATTTTGTGTTGATTGACTTACATGCGAGGAAATGGCTCTCAAATCTGGATATACAATTATTTGGCTTGATGCCCATATTGGCTCAAAAGATAACTGTCGACAAATGAAGAAAGAATTTGAGGTTGGTCTTGTAGAAACAGCAGCTGTACCACCACTTCCATATGATCCAATCGATGATCTTATATGTGCTGTGCGTGAATACAGTGCACCAATCTTGTTTGTTGATACACCAAAAGATGCGTTAGATCTCATAGAAAAAAGTCTGGCTTATAAAAAGGTTATTTTCATCTCATCAGCAACATTGGGCAAAGAAATTGTCCCTCAAATTAAGGAAAAAAAATTATCAATTGAATCATACTATGTTTTCTGTGCAGATATAAAAAAGCATCGTGAATGGGGTAACGAATGTATCGATGATGGCTTGGATATACAAATGTTCGATCATCAGACAACTCTGTTGACGAGACTCTGCCGAGATATGAGCAAGATATTACAAAATGATGGAATAGCCCTGTTGAACGCAAACAAACCTGAATCTGCTTTGAAATATTTTGAGTTTGCTTATGCACTGGCGGAAAAGGCCGTTGAGTGTGATAAACCTACCAATGATTCTGATACACATCGTCCATCTACCAAACATCGACAAGAATTAAATTCTTTGATAAAAAAAGCTAAACAAGATTTGGAATAAAAATTTATTATTAAATGGAACTTTATCACCGACATTACTTTTTTTCAATGCTCGATTGACATTCTCTAATTTTTTTTTTGTGAATATTAAGTCTCAAAAGAAAATGCTAGAGAACTAGTATAGTAGTTTAGACAATGCTGGATGCAGTATATTTCTCCAATGCGGCAGTTGTTATTTTTTGAATCGGCAGTAAATGTCTTTTAGTTTCAGAACTTCAGAAAATAGTTTTTATTCAATATTGCATACAGTAAAATCTCTCATCGTGAACACCTCTCTATAATGGATGCTTTGCGGTCTGACGAAACGATTTTTGCTGGAATGGAACATCTGCATAGTGGATGTGTCCGTATAGTAAGCAACAGCCTATATTAGGCAATTTTGAGAAATTTTAATTAGTATCCACTATAAAAATATGCTGCTTTATGATACTGAGCATTGATGCAGGTACTTCTTGTTTAGGTTTTTGTATTAAGAACGCATTCAAAATAAATTACATTGAGAAAATTAACTAAACAATTTTCAACTTTTTTGAAGAATATGTATGAAAAGCATTGAACAAATAAAAATTAGATACAATAAAAGGAAATTTTCTTTCATACACAGTAAACATCTTCTGAAAGTAGATGAACTCTCTTAGCTAATTGATTGCACACTGAATTCGAGCCTTATATTTATATCAAAAATTTGCTAATTTTTCCGGGTTTGGAGCTGAAAAGTCTAACAAAACTGATTTCGTCGTTATTTTTTGACTTTGCAAACCTTAAAAATCCTCGAAATCGTGTTCATTTTCTGAAAAACTATTTTAATTTAAAACTATAAAAAATAATCGAAACAAAATCGAAAACTCGGTATTCTCTGTTATGATTAGAGATTTTGTGTAAAATTTACTGTACTCTTCAAGAAAGTCTACAAAATATTTTTAAAATATGATGCAAAATCACTTTCGAACGCATCTTTCATTTTTCCTGCGTAAACGAGATGAAACAATCTTGAAACCTAACAGTTTCGAATCGATCAGATTACTTCGCCTCAGTTCATTATCGATAACTGATTGATCTCTCTCTATGAACGGCACAAAGTTGACTTTTTATTCTTAGACGAAAAAATTAACTTTGATAATGGTTCCATTTAGTTGAACACCTTCGTCGGGCTATGTTAGGCGGTAAAATGTTTTCGGTTGATACAGAGAAACGCGAAAAGTTTGAAAAAGTAATTAATTTGTGCACATTGTATAATCAGCGTTGAATATTTTTTCCAAATAAAGTATAACGTAAAAGTTATTTTAAAAATACATGTATTAAAAATTTCTATATTCAATTGAGTCGATTCTATATAGTTGTATAGATGAAACAAAACAGTAAATAGATGTTTTGAAGATAGACTAACAACATATTTCACTATGTGAGTCAATGAAATAGTTTTTTGTTTTATTATATTTGATTAGATAACATCGAATGTAATCAATGATTATTGGATGTATTATGAATATTTCATCGTCAACTCCAGATATTTATTCAATCGAAAGTTTTATTTTCTTGATTGATTGGCATAATAATTTAACTAGATCGACTTGTTTTTCTTCAAGAATCTGTTATGTATTTAATTTTTTTTCTTTCAGATGGACACACGATAACCTCATAGAATAATTGATTATTTCAAAACGCAAAAAGATTTACTGATTGAAGAACATAGCTCATTTTTAACTGTTTATTGTCGCTCAAATAGTACATATGAATACGTTACAACTGATTATCTTCGTATAAGTGGTATTTATTGACTTTATACATGTCTTAATTTACTTCATTTCGATGTAATTAATAGACTCAGAATATATTATTGATTACATACAAAAATGCTATGATAAATATTTTGGTGATTATTCGCCACGTCTAAGTCATGATTCACATTTATTATATACATTATCAACAGTACAACTACTTGTTCAATTAATCATATATAAAACAATTACAGCAAGATGATAGAAGTTTTATAGGTGATCAATGAGAAGAAGTTGTTACACGTTTTTCATTTTGTGCTCTTGTATGTTTTAAATTAATCGATTCATTAGATTTTATTGATTTAGATCGTGCAACAAATTTTATCGTGCCTTGTTTAAAATTTTGATAGCGGTTATATATCTAGTAGAGAATCATAAGTTGGATAAATTTATTATTGTTTAAGATTCTTATCACTTGTTCAGCGCCTTGATAAGCTTGACTTATCAACCAGAAGTATTTTAGCATGTTGATTATGTGAACAATAATCAGATAAATCAAGTGAACTTAACAGTCGATCCATAAAATTATCCGATGTCTGATACTGCTGGTAAGTTTTGTTATCATTAATCGTCATTGGAAAAATTCACTGAATTAATAGTGAAAAACTAAATACATTTATTTTAGTAGCATAAGATGACGAAACAGGGCGATCCGCTGATCGACCAGGAAATGTATTTGATCCGTTTCATAGATTATTTACAGTAACTGCATTATAATTATTAAATATCTATGATGAAAATATAATTAGAAAAGTAAATCCTATTTTATGTATGCCCGAATACGTTGTATAAAGAACAGGAATCAAAATGTAATTATTATAGATTTTTCTTTTGTAAAGCTTGTTTACTTTTTCAACATCTTAAAAGCTAATGAAAAAGACTAATAGAAATATTTAAGCACGAAATCATGTATGTGATAATGCTTCTAAAATGATATATTTTCCATCCATTTTTATCAGATAAAATATTTCATAAATGAATAAAAGGATTTTTAAATCAAACAAAATGAAAATGATCAATAATGCTTATTTCATGTTGTACATTCATTTCTATAAGATTATAAGGTATGGGAAAAAAGTTCGCGACATTTTCTTATCGATATTAATAGAAAAATTTCTAAGAACTTTTTTTTCAT